TAGCTTGTTGCTCGTGATGCTGGAACAAGCTTTCTCCGGATCAACAAAGCACGTGTAATCCGGATGAGCGAATTACTACGATATCTCAACAACCTGGCATGAAGCAGTCTGGTCGAAGACGCATCGGCCTGACATTAAGCCACGCGGCTCTTCTTGTACCGTAGACTCGCTTATTCAGCGGCACTCTTTTCCAACAACTTTGCTCTGACTTATTCCGGGAGGCTCAATAAGGTAATGCCGAGGTAGTTGAAGCATTGTCCATGGAATCCATTTTAGAACAGGAGCACTACAGCGTGATTACTGCAGTTCTCCAGTCCAGCTTTGTTTTTCTGGTAACCGTTGATTCACAGTTACATCTTATTTTCCTAAAGATTTAAGTATTTCAGGGCAGATTTAATCGATCCCAGCAGCCGCAGCACTCTTCAAGCTTTTCACAGCTTCTGTGATTTCCTAATACACAGACATCCTACTATCAGTTCCTTGTTGCCTTTCAGGCGAGTGTTCATGCGGTTGCACAGGGTAAAGAGTTCCATTCCAGAATAAACTCTCTCCATCGCTGAAGTCTGTCCTCATCTTTGGTAAGAGTGCTTCCAGATTATTTTTCAAGACTCTTAGACTGCTCTTTTTTCACATTGGAGGTGGCATTTGGTCTGCCAGGAATCCCTGTTTTCCGTTTGGAAAACCGAGTTCCAATACCTCGGACTAATTTTTTCATGAAGCAGCTTTCGCGTTGGCCACTGCCTTCTCCACCGACCTACGCGTTTAACCACATCTCATTCGAGTTGAACGCTATTTGTTTCCAAGCCAAATCTTGAGTGCAGCGTTCTTCCTGCTGACAGCCAGTTGAACCTCTGATACTCATCCAGGAATTTCGCTTTTGTTTCTGAGGTTGTTGGTCAACCTGTTTAAAAAAGCAGCCTTCGGCGGAAACCCCGAAGAAGCCTCTATTCAAGAGCACCATTGTTGTGCGACGTTTGGGAAGTTTCGACTTCATGTCCACAGAAAATAATTTTTCTCGTCCGATTCTCGTGCTCCTTCTGCCGACATGTCTTCGCATGTTATGTTCGCATGGTACTCCATTGCTTGCAGTGACGGATGCCAAGAACAAGGTGATGACCGATTGGCAGTTCTGAGCTTCTCTTAGCACGAACATCCCTTACGGAGCGTCTTAAGTCAGAAGATACGATTATCACATAGTTCGTCGACTTCTGTGTTGAAGCCTCCCTGTACCGGGTATACTCATACACGTTTCGATGATCGAAGAAGGAATTCATAACAGACAATAATTCGTTTGTACTGGGAGCGCAGCAACTTCACGCTGTTATTGTTAAGGTGCTAGGGCCGTATAGATCACACATGAAGCTAAAATATCCTCTGCGTATGAAATGGTGGAAGCATACCGAAAAACCTATTTGTAAATATTTCCATCCCAGCGACAGAAGCGCAATAGGCTAAATCAATTGGATCTACCTGAACCTACCTAGTCATTTGGATCTACCGACAATCAGTGACGAACCGTGCTAGCTCTCGCGGTTTCGAGCCATGTCCCTCAAAGTACAGCCCTCCCGGCTCATGATATAATTTTCCCACGTCATCCTAAACGACAAAGAGGGTAAATCCTCCAACTAGGTTATCGTAGGCGATCATCGCAGACCATCTCTCGTCGGTCAGACGAGAAACGTGTCCGACAACTTTTCCTTACTACGTCTGAAGAAGAAGTCATTCATTTACATTCGTTGTTCGATCACCTTGTGGTCGTGACTCGAAATTCCAAACATTCTTCCTTCCATATCTCTCTCGGTGACAGGCAGCTGACGGTCCAATTTTCGCTAGCGACCACGTGTCATAGACATACAGCATCGCCACCAAGACCGTAGAACTAAGGAAGTGGGCGCGACTAAGGACGTCTTGCCGGAATGGAACGAGGCCGGCCGTTCCATTGAATTTTTCCCGTCTTTTAATGCCGCATGATGATCTCTTATCCTAGGTAATTGTGTCTATGTGCTTCTACGATTTCTTCGTTTTAAATCATCTTGACCTTCGGCAAGCCATACAATGGCAGTTTCTTCGTCATCAATCGACTGATTCACAGTCGGACTTGTGTACTTTTTCTATCGAGCTGTTGCAGCATATTTTCCAGCTGACTGGTGCTTTCCGTGAGCAGGACAATGTCATCAGCTCATCAGCGAAAATTTGACTGCTAAGCTGTTCGCCTTTGATGTTAAACCAACTATCTGAACAGTATTTCCAAACAGGCAGTGAAATGCGTCGGCAGATGTTGCCTTGTTTTTTTTCTCACGCCCCTTTCTACGGGCAACCGATGGGGATATGGAAGAGCGTGATGTCTGAAGCAGCCAGAATTAGCCTCCTTTAGCAGGTTGATGTAATGGGGGTGTCATGTACACGCTGTTCTGCCAGTGCGGGCCATGCGACGTTGAATTCCACAGTATCGAACGCTGCCTCATAGTCGACGAAGGCCATGTACAGAGCGAGCTGATGTTCCCTTGCACGATTGAGGAGCTGAGTTAAAATTAAAGTGTTATGTGCTGTAGTTTCTTTCGAATACTCCCACTTCTCTTGGCTGCTGTTCGTCCAGACAATTTGGGCAATGATTCTTCAGCTTTTGTCCCCCTTCTTGAACAGCACTACTGTCTTTGACTCTCTTCTCTCCTTCCAACTTGTAGCAACTGAACCTCTCCGCTAGAGCTCAGATTAATTCAACTGTCAGACGGTGTCTTCATTTGGTCGAACTTTCGTTCATTTGTTGCGCCGCATGTCGGACATCCTCAACAAAACCGGGAGTGAACTTTATTCTGGCTGTTTGAGTGATGGTGAGGACGGGACACGTGTTTTTCACTGAAAGTGGTGGGTGTAATCTTTCTTGCAGATGGAGTGCATCTTGGCCCTCTGCCACCTCTGTTCTGTTAGCGCC